TGTGATTTGCAGAAGCTACACAGTGTTTCTGGGTTGGATGTCAGCATATCTACTGCTCTTGCCCATAGCAGTCACATTCTCAGGCCCAGATATTTTTCTTCCTTCTGACTGCAAGGAAGCAGCAGGCAGGGGCATCACCAGCTCTGAGTCCTGTTGCCATAGGGAAAGGTTTGTGAAGGCTGAAACCCATGTGCTATGGGCTGGCTTCTTGGGGACCCAGTGTGGCCCAGTCCTGCTGGCCCTGAGAGATGCCTTGGGTCAGCTACACACCCTCGCCCAGCCCGTAGCACTGCCGGTGCTACCCTGTGAGCTCATGCAACATTCAAGAAGGGCTGAGCCTCTGGGGTGCAGTCAGCAAGCCTGAGGAAACCTAAGGAGGAAAAGGCAATGAGTGGCTACTTAGGGTTTGGCTTCTGGCCCGCAACTGTCTCTGGCTGGCCAGCTATGCCCACTAGAGTGGCTTCCTGGGCAAGCTTTTAAAGGAGAGCCAGTGGCACAGCAGTGGTGGTATTTAAGCCATTGCTTGTTTCCAGTTTGCCCAGCAAAGAGTCTGCTATGGAGGCAACTAGAACATATGTACAAGTAAAGGTAATTCTGGAAATAGAAAGTTGACAGCAGCTGGATTTCCAGCACCTAGGAGCATGCATTTTCTGAGTTTTTCTTCCTGACTTGAGGAGATGGGAAATGACTTCTTCGCTCTTGCTGTGGTTTGGGGCTTGAATATACAACAAAGCTCACTGGTTTAAAAATGTATGCATACACAAGATATTCTAAATACTGGGTACACCTCCCACCCCATAGCAGGCTCCTGCCCAGGGGGACAAATGGCAATGGGAGGTGAAAGAGCCTCTTCATAATGGGCTCCAGATGGTTCTGCTTTCTCTGCTGGGGAAATGTGAGCAGAGAGTTTCCAGCTGGGGCTTGAGGACTGAGGTCCCTCACAGGGACTATTCCTAGCGGGCTTCTCCCTGGGAAGCATGCAGCAGGGTTTGGTGGTCCGATGAGGCACAGATTCCTCATCCTACTCCTGGATCAGCTTGCCCTGTGTGCTCCCTGCCCTCCTCTGTGACATGCCCTCCAGCTGGGGTGCTTTGTGGCTCAGAAGCACAGTTGAGTCCTTTAGTCACTGCAGGTACTGGTGCTTGAGGGAAGCATGTGCATCTTTCAGAGAGATGGCAGAGGATGCAAGGTAGCATCCTGTGTGCTGAGTCTACTCACTTTGTGCTAACTTTGCACCTTTGTCTTCAAGCATACATGGGCCATAGTCACACTGGAAAAGCCCTCAGGCTTGCTGGATACTGGAGACCCAGAGGGTGGGTTGAGGCAGGTACTCTGTAAATGCTGTGTGCCGTGAACCAGTGAGCACCTCTGTGAGCACACACATTAGCATGACTCAGGGCTACTGTATCCTTCAGTTGTGTTGCTTAGAACCTTATTTGTCTCTATTAGGCTTCTTCTCCCCTCTTTCTTCCTCCTCCCTTTCCTTTTCCTCTTCCTCTTTCTCCTTCCCTTTTCCCTTCTCTTTATTCTCTTGTCAGTGCTGGAAATTGAACCCAGAGTCTTCACACTGAGCTGTATCCCTAATCTCTTTTTGTTATTTTTATTTTTGAGACAAGGTCTCACTAAGTTGCCCAAGTTGGATTCAAATTTGGGATCCTCCTGCCTCTGTCTGGGTTACAGGTATGCACCATTATGCCTATTTCAAGGCTTCTTGAGAAGTGGTCATGACAAACTTCACTTGTCCCCTTCTGGCTGGGTGTGGTTTGCAGTGTTGTGTGGTGGAAAGAGCTTGGAATCTGGCTTCGACCAACCTGCACCAACAGTGGGAGGCCACCCTTTAGTAACTTTTGCCTGAATTCTGATTTCCTTGCCTCCCCAAGGTGGGTAATAATAATATCTGACCTGAAAATGATTACCTGGATCAATTGAGAACTGTGAAAAGACTTGGGAACTTGTAGGTGTGGTCTTTTTATCCTCTGCTCTTAGAGGTTGAGCTTTAAAGGTCCTTTCAACTTTCAATTCTGTGATGTTGGGCTCTTCCTAGGACATGTCACACTACCCCTTCTTCCCAAGAGATACCCACAACAGTCTCAGGAGGCATTCAAGCCCAGGTACAATCCAGTAGGATGACTTTGTCCTCTTAATTTCATTTTCTTTGTTTTTGAGTTGAACCAATAGATTCTGAAAGCAACACCGGAACTGGGAAAAAAAAATGAGCTCCTTGCCAAGGTATGCTGTTAGCCATTGGGTCTACATCCCAGCAGTGGTCTGGGAAAGGGGGCAGAGGGGGCCACCTTGGTTTGGTGCTTTGTGGATGAGGTGTTTCTGCAGAAGTGATTTATATATGCAAGGTGAGAGAACTGAGTGTTGAGTTCGGCTAATGCCCCCTGGAGAATTGTTATGACATCAAGGGTAGTTCACGGCTTAAAAATGTCTTGAATATCAATTCCATCCTCCTTTTTCTGTGAGAGGGAGGCATTCTTGCCAGGAATGGTCAAAACTTTGAGATCTAAATGGAAGCAACAGAGTAGAGTAGAAAGAGTACTGGCTTTGAAGTCCAAAACCTGCGTTTAGATTGGGCTACCATTAACTAAGTAACTGTGTGACCACAGGAAAATAATTTAACTTTCCTGGTCTTCAGGAGATATATTGTTTGGGAATATAATATTGCATATACATCTTGTGGTATAGCAATTACCTTTGCAAAAAAAAATTGAACACTTAAAAATGGATGGATAGAGCAACTGATTTGAAGACTAACAATATGGAATGGAACAACCATGGTGAATTCCTACCATCTTGTCTAGTGAAACTCTGTATTATCTGTAATGCTGTATGTAAAAATTATTTTTTTTTATTTTCTTTAATGGCTTAAACAATCTTCCATTCTTACATCTGGTAATCTGAGCAACATAGTTAAAGATAACAATATGTACTATAATAACCACTGTTAATTCTTATCACTTTGTCTTGAAACCCTGTATCACTTTTAATGTTCCTGCTTGTTTCATTTATGTTTGTGATGTTGGTATGCTGCCATTGTTCTTTTTTTTTTTTCTCATTTACTACTCTCTTTAAAATAAAAAAAAATGGATGGATAAACTGGCTGTGGTGGTCATTTCTGTAATTCCAGCTACTTGGGAGGTTGAGGCAGTAGGACAGCAGGTTGGAGGCCAGTCTAGATAGCCTAGTAAGACCCTGTCTCAAAAGATGAACAGCACTGGGGCTGTAGCTCAGGGATAAAATGCTTGCCTAGCATGCCTAAGGCCCTAGGTTTAATCCCCAGTACATAAAAAGAAATGTATGTATTATATATATCCAGGAAACTGCTTAAATCATAAATGTTCAGTTCAAACTATCATAAAGAGAACACACAGAGAACACACTCATGTAAGCACTACCCAGATGAAGAACTATAACATCGTCATACACCCAGAGCCCCATTTCCTCTCTCCCTGCCACTGTCCAGCCTCTTCCCCCTAAAATGACCACAGTCTTATGTCCTAGTGCCATAGGTTAATTTTGCCTATTTTTGGACTTCACATAAATGCAATCATATGGTACCTAATTTTTATGTTTTAGCTTGTTTTACTGTTGGGATTATTCCTGCTGCTCTGCATATCAGTAGTTTATTCTCATTGCTGCAATACCCTGTGGTATGTATGATCACTCCCCAAAGTATCTCCTCCGTTACTGATGGACATTGGACTGTTTCTAGTTTTTGCTGTTCCCACATAATGCTATATGCATTCCTGTTTGGCATGTACCTCTGAGTAGAATTGCTGGGTCTTGTGGGCTATATATGGTTCAGCTTTCTTTTCCTTTTTAAAAAGTTATTTTTAATTAACACACAGCTTTAATAGATATGGCCAAATAAATTTGCAAAATGTGTGCATTAATTTACACTCCCACCTAGCAGCTTGTTTCTGTTATTCTCTATCGTCTACTACAGTTGATATTGGCAATCTTTTTAATTATTTTGCTATTCTGATGAGGGCTAATGATATCTTTTTTTTATTTGCATTTCTCTAGTAGCTACTGAGATTAAGCACATTTTAATTTTAATTTTTATTTTTGGTGCTGTTAAGCTGGGGATCAAACCCAGGGCCACTACTAGGCTAGGCGTGTGCTGTATCACTAAGCTACATTCCAGCCCAAACACAGTTTTAGATACTCATAAGCCATTTAGGTATCCTCTTTTGTCAAATACTTACTTAAGGCTTTGGACCATTTTCCTATTGCTTCTTTTTAAAATTTTATATAAGTTCTTACCATATTTTAATTGCAGTGTATTTGTTGGGTATTAATTGTATTTTGTGTACATATGTTTTACTTTGTGACTTGCCTTTTCATTTAAGGCTATACTGTTATGAACAGCAACTTCTACTTTCAGTGTAGTTTAATGAATGTACCAACACTGTCTGCTATAGGCAGTATCTTTTCTGGTGTGCATGAACTCCTCCTTTGGGTGCGAGGCACAAATGCTTTCTGCTACTCTCACTACCTCCTGTGGACCACAAGGCTACACACAACCTGTGAAGCCCCTAGGAAGCAGCATAGCTGCCAGGACACCTTCACTCCAGCTCCAAGATGAACTTTCCTTGAGTGGGCAGGTAGACCAGGTCCTGGCTGATTTGAAGAGCCTGTTGCAGTCTCAAAGTTCTTGGTTAAATTTAAAAGCTTAGTTCAGAGCACATAGAACTTACAGTTTCCAGGAATCCTGTTGTCTGTCCAGCTGATTATTAGGAAGAAACAGCATTTGTCGGGGCTTTCTAGCATTAGTTGTTTCTAGAACCTTCTGGAAATAACATCTCAGATTCAGTGACACTATTTATAGCTCTTTGTTGTAGAGTTAGATACTGGGACTCTGCTTAACCTGAACTTTCCATTCAGGGAAACTTCTGCTCTTCAACAGCGTTGCTGAGTGACCAGTGTTGCTGAGTGACCAATGTTGCTGAGTGACCTCCCTTGCTTTGTCACAACTGATTGAACAGGTGGCTGCCTGTGTGTTGGCCAGAGGACAGTCAAAGGCTTATGTGGACTGGAAGCAGATGTATACCAAAGCCCACAGGATTCCCTCACGGGGAAACTGAACTCAGGACCAGAAGGAAATTGCTGGCTAGTGACGGAGAAAGGAGTGCCATTTTGGGCCTGTGTGCCTGCTGAACGTACAAGGGACTGACATGCAGAGAGGCCACTCTGGAGAGAGACGAGGGCATGAGGGTCAGAGAAGATCAAGAAATCACAATGAGTAAACGATGAGAAAATCCCTGACTTCTGCCCCGTTGAGGCCTGATTCAGTGTTTCCTAGTTCTCCTTGAGAACTCTCTACCCATCCTTGTACTAATCCCATCTTTTATTGGAGCTACTTTCAGTGAATTTCTGATCCTTGCAATCAAAAGCATCCAGACTAAAATAGTCCAGATCAAAGGTGAGAAAAAGAGAAAAGAAAATGTTTATAGGTTGTATTTCATTCAATAAACTTTATAGAGTTCTAGTAAAAATGGATTCCCCTACAATTTAGATAACCTACCTTATTGACTACAATAAGGTCTATGAGAATAACAGCACTGCTCTTTCCTCATTAAAATACTAATTCTGGATATGTTAGTCAAGAAGCAACAGAGAAGTAGCTTTCTGATCATTCATCCCGTAATTCGCTGTGGTCCTACTGCGAAGCTAGGGGCTGAGTGTGAGGTGGGACAGGCACTTGTGGCCTGTAGGGTCTCTGGTCTCGATCCTGATTTCCAAACTGTACTTCATGGTGCTTCAATAGTTGTCAGGGTTAAAAACTGGTTATGAGCTAAATGGCCAAGAGTAGGAGAATGGTTAAATAAATTAGTGGTTTCCAAATGAAGGAATATTTATGGAATCACTAAAAATGATGTAATTGGACAGGCTTCTAATGACATGGAAAATTAATTGTGTAATGATATGTAACATTAACTGGAAAACAGATGTAAATTTTTTTGTATAGGGAATATCAACTATGTTAAAATATTCCTAGAAAAAAAGCCCAGAAAGAAATAAATATGCAAATATGTGAAATTGCTAACAGTAGTGAGATATACATACATTTTATATATATATGTTACATATAAATTTGCCTTTTTGTATTTTTTATGATTACTATTATAATCATAAAAAGTCTCCAATGAAAATACAAATGAGTGAGCTGTCTACTCTGATTCTCTAAGCGTGAGCAGAGTCTGTTCTGGAGTTTCCTGGGTCCTGCACCCCGCCCAGTTTTAACCCCCAAGCCTCTGTCCTCCAAGCGGAGACACGGCTGTTTGATGCATTTGCAGCTAGGAGCCCACCAGACCGATCCCCTGCTCAACCCATGGCCTGGGCAGTGCTTGCATATCCAGGATGTGTGAGGGTGCTAATGGTGCCTTTCCCCTAAGCTGTGAGAGAGGGTGAGAATCCAGCTTTGAAATCACACAGCCAAGGTGGGACCTGTTTCATAAAAAGTGTGGAAGAAGTGAGCAGAGGCAAACCTGAAAATTCTGTGAGACCTCGCAGAGGAAGCTACTGTCTGCAGGTAGGTGCTTTGTGCTGGATTTTACACAGCCAGAGGTAGATTTAACCTTCACAGTGGCCTGATGGAGTAGGTATTATGGTCTTTATTTTGTCAATGAGAAAGTGAGTTAACTCCAAAACAAAACAAAACAAACAGAGTCCAGCTTAGAAGTGACAATCGCAGGTACTGGAAAGCAGGTCCAGGACTCAGCACCTCCTTCCCTTGTGCTTTGCAACTGGCCATCATATTGGTGTGTCGCATCCTCGCTCTGTGCCAGGCCCGGGTGAGGCTCTTCCTGCAGCATCTCCTTCATGTTCACAGTGACTGAGTGAAGCAGATCTGGAGAGTCAAGCAGGAAAGAAGAGGGCCGTGCACAGTGAGCCAGGGGCAGGCAGCCCTGGAGCCTACTTGCTGGTCTGAGCCTTGGTCAGAGTCATGAATACTGTGATTCCTAATGACATCCCCTGGGCTCCATGAAAAAGCCTAGTGCAGGTGACAATCATAGCATGACCTCAGTAATCACAGACTGGCATTTGGATCCTGCCAATCAACCAGGCAATCAATCCATCAATCAGTCAGCACATCTTGGGCAAACTTGGAGCTGGTGATCTCTAAGGTCTTTCTCAGCTCAGTGAATCTAAATTTCTATGGGCCTTGCTTAAGGCTAGTCCTGAGCTACAGAATTCTGTGGAGGGAGAGGCGGAGGAAGACTCAGCTTCTAACTCTGCTCTCGTAGAGGTTAGGGACAGAATTTGGGGGCGATACATGTGTTTAAACACACAATAAACCATTAGGCAGTGATGAAGTGGTAGATTGTGTGGAAGAGTGTTCAAAGTCTGAGCTCAGTGTGGAGGGCATCAGACCTGCTCAGTGCATGTGCACTTACATGTGTGTGCGTGCGTGTGTGTGATGAGCATGGGCATGTGACTGGCATGCATAGAGTGTGTATGTGTGTGTGCATGTGTGTACTAGTGTAGATAAGTGTGTGCAGGTGAGAATGGGTATGTATGTGTGAGTGTCTGAGCATAAGTGTGTGTGCAGAGCATTAAAGGGCTGGTCAGATTTGGCTGAGTGTGGAGACTGAGTTGGAGGACAGCATGGCTCCTCCCTTGGTCCTGAGAACTGGAGGTAGAAAGAAGAGAGATGAGGAATGGCAGAGGAGGAGGGCAGGGAGACACACAGAGAGAGACAGAGAGACATAGAGAGAAAATAAGAGCGTCAGAGTGAGAGAGAGAGAGAGTGACAGAGAGTGACAGAGAGAGAGAGAGACAGAGAAATAGAGAGATAGAGACCCAGAAACCCAGGTCAGAGAGCTGTAGAGGAGTTGGCTGCCCTGTGCTCTGGCCGAGGTCGAAGGTAAGGGGGAAATGCTGGAGATGACGAGGAAGGAGAGGAGCGTGAGGTCACAGGCCACTCATCAGGGGTCTCCTCTGTCCGCTTTTCCATGAAGACTCTTGCGCCCAGTTTACGGGGAGGGAGCCGGGCTAGCTGGGCCCTGGGGCTCGGGTTACCTTCCTCCTTCACACAGGCTGAGCCTGGAGGAAGACGGGATCCAAGCCTGGCTGCAGGGACTCTGAGCCCTCTGATCAAGAGGAGGCCCTGTGACAATTAGCTCTGGGTGGAGGGGCCTCATTGTCTGAGCCTTCCTTGATGGAGGACTTATTCTAATACCCGCCCTCCCCCGCTGCAAACAGCTCAATTACACAGAGCTCCACATTTCATTAATTGCAGGTATCGAAAGAGAGTAGTAACATTAGTGGAAATTGTTGTAATTTTGGTTCATGTGGTTATGGGGCCAAGGAAACATTTCCTGGGTTCTTTGACGTAGACCTTTTCTGCTGTCTGGGGGGTGGTCTCTGAGAAGCACCCTTGGGAAGTCTCAAGGTGGCTGTCAAGAGACCCCATGAAAGACCCCACTCCTGTGCATCTCTTTTAATGACTAAGTAGAACCACAGCTCCTTACAGAAGTGGATGGACCTACCAGGCCAGGATTGAAGAGGTTGATTCTGGGACTGTTTTAGGATTCAATGGACATAGACTAACCCTTTCTTTCTTTCTTTCTTTCTTTCTTTCTTTCTTTCTTGCTTGCTTGCTTGCTTGCTTGCTTGCTCGCTTGTTCCCACCCTCCTTCCTTCCCTTCCTTCCTTCCTTCCTTGTACTTGGGATTGAACTCAGGGCCTTTGCACTGAGTTACATCCTCAGCCCTTATTATTTATTTAAAAAAATGTTCAGATAGGTTCTCACTAAGCTGTAAATTACCCAGGCTAGGTTCTAACTTGTTGTCCCCCTGCTTCAGCTTCTCAGAGTGCAGGGATTTAAGACATGCCCCACCCTGCCCAGCTGGGCATAGAGATTCTTGATGGCTAAATTCAAAAATAACCATTGCTCTTCCCTGTAGGTGCACTGTGGCTGTAGGTCTTAGGGTTTAAGGCCAGGAAACTGGCTGTCCTGAGTTTTTTACCCTTTGTCCCACCCACGCACTGGAGCCATGTCCTAAACATCTGCAATTGCTTGCAAAATACAAGTTCCCAGGCCTTGTGTCGGCTCTGTTTTCTTTCCTGCACACATGCGAAGACCTTTGAGTCGGCAGCTCTGTTTTATAAGGTTACTACTTCCTGCCCTCGCTTTATTACATCTGTTCTTTGGGGCATGGTGTTATAAATTGGGTATGTGATGATGTGTAATCACTAACTGAAAAGCCAATACATTTTCACTGTACCGGCAGCAAGACAAATAAAAGGCAAAATGAAAGGCTTGTGCTATTTTGACAAAGGGAAAAGCACACGACACACATATTAAAGAAGAAAAGAATCAGATTGCAAATTGAAAATGTTGTCGTCTTAGGGGAGCTGTTTTCTTGGGGCAGTCTGGCTCACGTTGGCCGCCTAAGGGAGGGGAGCCCTGGTGGCTGGGGCTGGGGAGGGGGAGGGCAATGTTTTATTTCTCTTGGGAACTGCATTATTATTCGGCTTTGTAAACCTCAGGCTATTGCCCCAGGGGCTTAGGAGATGTGTTGCAGGAAGCCCTAGATTGAGAACAATTGGTCTGCAGCCAGAGGACAGTGGACAGAGACAGTTGGAGAGAGATGAACAGAGTAGAAGGGGGTGCACCCCAGTGTTATTTTCCCTCTGGAGAAGAGCCTGTAACTTCCTTGTGGTTCTGATGCATGGAGCATAGTGCGTCCATGGAATAAGGGCTTAACAAGCGGTGATACTTGTCTGTCCCCGATCTACGCTCTCTCACAGTGGGTCGAATCTGCACCCACTCAAGAGGACGAGTGTGTGGACTCAGGATTCTGTTGGGGAGAAAGAAGTGCTCCTGTCCATTCAAATTTAATGAATACGGCTATGAATATTCACTCATATGTATCTCTATGACCCTGCAGAAATGTGGTCTGTGGGGATGTGGAGTTTTGTTTTGCTTTTTCTTCCCATAAGCTCTGAAGGAAGTGCAATTGAAATAAGGTTTGAGGAGTCATTTTTTGAAACTGATTAGAGAAAAGATTATAAGAATAATATGTCTTGTCAGTCTGCAAAGGGTCAGAGATTTGGCCAGAAAAAATAAAAGAGAAAAAATATCTTTAAGCTTGGTGACTAATTATGTTCATGAAGTTAGGATGAATATGAAGGGAGATAAGGGTCTCTCCTTTGTAAAGCAGAGTCAACGATGTGAACACCCTTGAAATCTGAGTGTTCTTCCAGCACTCTGTGATAATAATAAGCATTATAACGTGGCTACATGACATGTAGAGAGCTGCTGTATTTGTACGGGGCTGGCTGGAAATACAAACCCCAGCCCAGGGTCCACAGGAGCCTGGGGATCTATTGTGCAGCATGAGTCCCTGTGTGAAGGGAGCCCACATTTTGTTTTCAGCAGGTTAATTTTCTTTCCCTTCCTCTCTCTCTCCCTCC